GGTACGCGCTGAGCGCGGGTGGCAACGTGGTTAACAAGGTGATCCTGAGCGCTTTCCCGTTCCCCGTGACGGTTTCGCTGTGCCACATCCTGGCTCTATGCGCTGGGCTCCCACCGCTGCTGCGCGCGTGGCGCGTGCCTCCCGCGCCGCCAGTCTCGGGCCCCGGGCCCGGCCAGCACCCGTCGCCCGGCCCGCTGTTGCCGCCACGGTTCTACCCGCGCTATGTACTTCCTCTCGCCTTCGGCAAGTACTTCGCATCGGTGTCGGCGCACGTCAGCATCTGGAAGGTGCCAGTGTCCTACGCGCACACCGGTGGGTGCCGCGGTCAGCTAGAGGGTGGTGTCCGGCCTAGAATGACAGGTTGGGGCCCGCCAAGGCTGTCAGCAGGGGAGAGACACGAACAGGGGTCTAGGGAGGGCGAAGCTGAGAAGGGAGTTGGGAGCCAAGCGGGGCAGACCACAACTATTGGTTTTGTGGGGAAGTCCCATGGAAAGAAGGGTGAAGAGGTTCGAGGGGCTGCCAAGCTGTCCCAACCCGCGGTAGAGTTGGGACAGGCTCCCAGTGTGTTCCCCAAGTCCAGGGCTGTTTTGTGAGCGCCCGTTTCCTCTCTTTGCAGTCAAGGCCACCATGCCCATCTGGGTGGTCCTCCTGTCCCGGATCATCATGAAGGAGAAACAGAGCACCAAGGTAAGCCAGGAGGGCTCTGGGCAGGTGGAGGCGCAAGGAGAGGCTGTTGCCCAGCTGGTGACGTGGTACAGGCTTCAGGCATGCAGGCTGCCAGGCTTCCTGTCAAAAAAGGAAGTCGGATTAGATGCCTCTGGTGGCCCTTTTGCTGCTAATTTTTTTCAAATCACGTTGTGGGCACTGGTGTGTGGGGTGTGTCCCTGAGTTGTTGACTGTGTGGTCTCTTGGATGCAGCCGTCTCTCTCAGGTTCTTTCCCTCCCTGTTTTGATTCCCTGCCCGGGGTTGCAGATAGTCGATGACCTGGTCTCACCTTGGCCAGGCACCCAGTACCCCTCCAGTAGGACCCAGGATGGAACATCTGACTTCTTGCTGGAACAGAACTTTGACAGAGTTTCACTTCTTTGCAAGAGACAGGAGTCAGGTTGGGGTTTCTGGGGTCAGAAGTGAGATGCTAGTCAAAGGAGTCTGATTTGGCCAAAATTCAGCAGAGCCTTCAAAATAAAAACAGCCAGGAATTGAGAATGTTTGAGAATGGAAGTGAAAGCAACACACAGAACCCTGGACTGCATAAGGAAGATGCTTTGGGTACAATCCAGGATCTGTTTGAGATGTCAGCCCAGGGTATTTTCTGGCTTGGGGCAAGAGAAGCTGTGGCTTCAGCCAGAGACAGCCTTGCTTCTGTCCTTACGTGAAAGTGAGACAACTGTTGTCTCAGCTGGAAGTTGTTTCATGTTGGACAGAGTACCTCTTTTCTACGTGGTCAGTTTTCCTGTATTTTATGTAACTCAGAACAGCACTGCCCTGGATCAACTTACAGAAATTGGGCCACCTCCAGCTGACTTTTTATTTCAGCCTTTTTCCCTGAAAGACCAGAGTGTGCTCTGCTGCCTGCCCCCAGGGTGATGTCAGATGTGACTAGTCTCCAGGGTCGGAGTTGCCCGTGATACAGCTGCATCACTCGATATCACAGCACATTGATCAGGTTTCTCCGTTGTGTGGGACATTGGACCCAGGTTGGGCAAGGAACCAGAAACTTCAACCAGTGAGGAAACAGTTGGGAATGGCCTGTGCAGGAGAGTAATGGTAATGATGGAATAAGTATGGACCCACCCTGTGAGGCAGATAAGGCAGGTCATCTTAGGGGAAGAAATGGACTTGTAAGGGGAGAGTCACGTATCTGAGGCCCACAACCAGTAATGGGGGAGCTGGGATTCAGAGCCCTTGCTCTGCGCAGGGGTGTGGGGTGGTAGGGAGTAGGAGGGCCTCACCACCCCCTCCTAAAATCTTCGCAGTACTTTAAGCATGTCCTTTGTAGAAGGAGTCAGAGGAGTTATATGTCAGAAATGGATCCCATTTCTCTGGAATTTGGGATCCATTTAGCTAGCATTGCTCAGGAACCATTCCATACACCAGGCTCTGGAAAGCTTGGACCTTCTGGAAGGCCTCCTATCACGGCATGCTACTCGTTCATTCAGCCAGCAGTTAACTGGATGTGTACTGCGTGCCGGGCACCAGGATAGAGCAGTGAGCAAGGACCTGCCCTAAAGAAGTACAGGGACACAGATGTTGTAATGGACACTTATAATGGGTGGAGAGCTCTGTGCCTGGGAACACGCAGCAGAGAAACCTGACGGGGCGGGGCTAGTTCTCATTGTGAATGGTATGTAAACTGAGACCCGAGGGGAAAAGAGAAGGCAGTGTCTTAGCCATGGGTAACTGCATCTTAGAAGAAAGATCCTGCCAGTCCTTTGGAGGATCAGGGTGTCAGACCTTGGTGTGTTGGTGGTGGCAGCTGGATAGGTTTGTTAGGAGCAGCCCTGGTCTGTGGCCCTGAGCAGGGGCTCTTAATGGGGTTAATGGTATAGGGAGTGGGGCTGCCCACAGTGACATAGCTCTGCCACAGATACTCTGATAATTATCTTCCTCCCCACTAACCCCCAGAGCATCACTGTCACAGCTAATGCTCTTGTCCAAAGGTGTCCTTTTGGTGAGGGAGGAGAGTGGCTGAGGCTTTCCCTGGGTATCTATGTTGGGCAGCCCAACTTGACAGCCCTTCTTTCCTCCTCCCACAGGTGTACTTGTCACTCATTCCCATCATCAGTGGCGTCCTGCTGGCCACTGTCACTGAGTTGTCATTTGACATGTGGGGGCTCATCAGTGCCCTTGCAGCCACACTGTGCTTCTCACTTCAGAATATTTTCTCCAAAAAGGTATTTGGGCACCATTTGGGGTATGCATGGTGTTTTGGGGGGTACATGGGTAGCATTCGAAAAAGTGGCCAAGTAGGGATTTCTTAGTGTTGGAGCAAAAAAAAATCATGTTGCCCTTCTGCTGGTTTTCTATTTGTTGTTTAATTTTTAAACGCTTATTTTTTTTATACAATTAGCATATGTTCAATGTGAAAAATAGAGACAAGCCCAAAGAAAAAAATCAGAATTGAGCACCTACTGTGTGCCAGGCACTATAGTGGGTGCTAGAGATGAAATATCAAAAGACCTGCCCGCCCTGCTTAAGGATTTCCACGCTATTGAATGAACTTACAGTACTGTCCCCTAAAGAGAACCATTAATGCTAGGGCTATTTTCTGCAGATTTTAGAGTTGTAATATTATAGATACACTTTAGAATTTTCCTTTATTCACTTAACTATTGTAACATCATATTCTCCCATATCATTAAAAATCATTGCTCTCAACTCCTGTAATAATCACACTCTATTCAGGTACCACAATTAATGCAGTCAGTTCTATTGCAAATGCAGACTATTTCCAACTATTCATTGCAAATAACACAGTAATGAACATCTTTCTGCATAATGTTTTTCTCTCAGGTTATTTCCTCATGACTGGCTTCCAGTTCTTGGATCTGAGAGTATGAGATGTTTATGGCTTTTGATATACTTTACCTGATTGTATTCTGAAATAGCTATATACCAATTTGGGATTTCAGACTGCCTGTTTTACTGCAGCTTCACCAGCATTGAGGATTGCTGGGGGGTTTTTTTCTTTCCTTGGTTCTTTGTGCATGAAACATTGTGCTTGTTTCGGGCACTAGCTACGTGTCTCATCATAGGTGCACTTGGAGGTTTGGCAGTCAAACTTGGATGTCAGGGTTAATGTACAGTCACTGTGTTTGGGGCCTGGGTAACTGGAGCCCTTCTTGCCACTTAAGATGTTGATCAGCCTTTAAAGAGGTTTTTTCTCTTTAGGTATTAAGAGACTCACGGATCCACCATCTCCGGCTCCTGAACATCTTAGGCTGCCACGCCGTCTTCTTTATGATCCCTACATGGGTCTTAGTGGACCTCTCCGCTTTCCTGGTCAGCAGTGACCTGGTAAGTTGGCCAGCCCTGAAAACATACCCTTTTCTTGAATGGCTCCAAAGTAGGTGCTTTGTCGGGGAGTTACACTGCTATGTTGGGGCATTTGGGGCCTCTGACAGCCTAGGCCTTTGAACACTCAGATCTTTGTCAACTCACATTGTGTGCAGTCAAGGACGTCGACTTCCTTTGCATTTCTTTCTCCACTGTGCTAGATCGCAGTTGCTAACAGCAGTCGCATTGCACTGGTGGCATGAAGGAAGAAAAAACTGCCAGGATGGGGGACTTTCCTATCCTAATAGCCTGGTGCAGCTCTCATTCTTTTGAAAACTGTGCTTGATTCCTTTCTTGGTGTCATCTCTACATGTTTCCATTTACTCCGATTCTAGCTGTAGCTCTCAGCACAGGGAATAGCCTCTTTCCCCCGCCAGGCCAGCCTCCAGAGAGTGCTAACGCAGGTGACAGTGACAAGGAGGTGGGCGTGGCTCTTCTAGGCCTGAGTTAGGGAGGAGTAAATGTTTATTAGGTCTGTCTGGATTCTTGACATTGATCTTTAATCTTTAGCACCACCTGTGGATGTGATAGAGAACATCTCCAGTTACCAGATGAGCTAACTGGCTCTGTTCTAATTCCCTTCCACACTGATGAGCTGTGATTTTTCTGTTAAGAACTTTCCATCGTCAACCAGGACTAGTCTGTTACCTTGAAGTACAGTGCACTAGAGGCAGATCAATGCTTCTCTTTCCTTTTAATTACCAGTTTTCAAAGTAGAGTTAAGAGTTCAAATGTTAACCAGTGAGTTGAAGTTTTCTTTCCTTTTTGAGGGATGGAGGAGGGTTCTATTTTTTTTTCTTTAGTGTCACTGTGCATTTGTGTTTGTCAGTCATATATATTAGTCTTTTCATATTCAAATTATCCTGTCTTAGCTGATAGAGTCCTCTCTGTTGGCTCCCTGCCCTCTGACAGCACACGTCAGCTTTTGATGACTTTTGGTCCAGCAGGATGTCCTCCTTAATCTATGTACCTCCCATCCCAGACCTGCCATCAGCCACTCCTTGGGGAACGCAGGTTGCTTATAGTGGAGAGTGGCGTTTAGAGACACAGTCTGAATGCCATGTGTGCTCACCCCTATTGGGCCATCGTTGCTTTTAAATCTTTGCAATGAAACATTACGAAAGACGTATTCGGGAGCAGAAGGGAGAATTCATACTGATTCTTTCCGGTTTCCATTTACTATCTCAGGATTTATTACTGCTTTGATTTTTTATTTATATCTTTTCTGGAACACTTGGTTTCTCACAACATTTTCTATTTGCTTATCCTACGCTACTCCAGTTGTTCACATACATGATTCCACTGTATACACGTATAATCACTTCAGAATGAGAATCTTGAGGGACAGCTGCGGGTTGAGCACTGAGAGAAGTTTAATATTTTTGTGCAGCTCTTTTTCCTTAGAACATGTTCCTTTAAAAATGTACAACAGGTCCTCGAGTAATGTTTTATGACAGTGTTAATGAGATGCCGTAGGAACTTAACTCTTGTTTATATCAATTAGCTTATGGTAAATTGGCTTCTTTATACATCAGAATCTATTGACGACATTAAGTAAGGACTTAGAGTACAATTGAAATGCTTTTCCTAAGGGCACTTGAGTTAATCGTTTCGCAATGTGCCTGTGTCACAAACTTACTGTGTAATTGAGTTCCTTTACTTGCATTTGTTTTCAATTTTTAGGTATTGCTTTTTTTTTTTTTTTGCCCCTACTAAATATGTCAAATCTTTATATTTCCCAAACCAGATGATAAGTCTGGGTCAGTCCCTGTCATCTCCACTCTCTCCTTTCCCTTCTCCCGTAGGTAGCCATTTTTATGCTCTTGATTTACCCTCTCAGTGTTTCTTTTCACAAATATAAGTGAACTTGTATATATTCATACCTTCTGTCCTCTTTACACAAAAAGTGACTTTTTAGATATTTAGAAAAGAGCAAATTCCTCTTTTCACTCAATAATATGTCCTGGAGATAGATCACTCCATATTGATGTATTTAGGTCTTTCCCATTTCTTTCATTGGCTGCATTATATCGTCTCTGTGTTGCAGCTCTTTGGTGTCTCTGTATACACACATACAAACATGTACATATTAGGCTTTGCTCTGGTCTCTCTTTGCTTTTTCTTGTATTGAGGACGTTTTTCAGTTTTCTTCTAGTGATTACCTGTTTTATAATTACTTTTAGTATTCTCTTTTACTTGTTGAGGCCATGTGTATGTATGTGCGCATACGCGCGCGCGTGCGTGCGTGTGTTTGTGTGTGTGTGTGTGTGTATTTACCTTGATGGGGCCCTTGTACATTCTAACAACAGCCTAGGAACACGTTATTCGACAGTGCCCTATAGAGGCTGTTACCCCAGCTCGGGGCAAAAGTCTAGGTGACTTTGAGTAGGTCACCTAAGTGTGTCTTATTCACCTTAGAGAGGACTGTGTGATCCCTCCCTCTCAGAAGGTGGTAGAGATGGAATCAGCCAGCCATCCTAAGATTGCTCCAGCTCCTGTCCTAGAAGGGCCACCGTCCTGAGGGAGCCAGCTGTGTCCTCTCCACAACCGAGGCCATTGTGGCCCGGGAATTGTCCTGCAGAGAGCAGCTGCTACCAAGCAGCTGTAGCTTTGCTGCATGATGGAGCCACGTCAGGTCTTGACACTGCTCTGCCCTCAGAGCACTGGGCTGCAGGGCTATCCCAGCACTGTTGTCTGGGTCATGGACACTAGAGAGATGTACAGCCTGGGGCCGTCTGTGCTAGTGTGCCATGTCCTGGCAGCCTTGTCTGTACAGCTTCTTGGTTCCCTGGCCTGGAGGATTGGTGCCAAG